GATTATGATTAGTGTAGGACCACAAAAAAAAAAAAAAAAAAGCCATTGTTACTTTCGTTACTTTATACATTATTAGTTAAGGAAATTTGGAAATTTGGAAATTTTTCTATCGGAGTTATGATTTCGCGGATAATCAAAGGCTTATCACATCTCACTACTAAAACCTGTATCTGCATAATTTTACTATATATTTATGGTTATTAAAACATATGTTATTATTTAGATATGAGTTAATACTTTTAATTATTAGTTATTGTTGTTGTACCAGGTACGTAAAAAAAAAAAACTAATATTAGCAAACGAATCATGTTTTAATCCGCGTTTTTGATTTTTTTTTATGACATGAACCTTTCATATTTAAAACAAAGTAAATGGCTGATAAATTAAAATAATAAATAATAAATTAAAATTAAATTAAATTAAAATTAAAATTTATGAACATTTTTTAATATAATTTTTTAAAGTACCAATTAAAATGATATTTTTAATTTAATTAAAAGAAAAAAAAAAAAAAAAGATTGTTGGGGTGGATAAGAAGGATAAATAAGAAATCGGTTAGAAAAAAGGTAAATTTCTAAAAAAAAGGAATCCGAAAAAAAAGATTGTTGGGGTGGAAACTTTTCCCCGATATAGGATAAAATAATTACCGACATCCGATCTACTCGCCACCCCCAAGTACCTGGTTGATGGAAAATCACGATATATCCAATGATGTGACATATATAATTGGCTTATAATATATTTTAATTTAATCATATAAATAAAAATTTTTTTTTAGTTAAAAAATCAAACACCGATTTTATTTATATTATAAAAAAATTTTAAAGTAAACAATATAAATTAAATTATTTTAGTAATGTAAATCATATATTTTATTATATATTATTACATATCCTTTTTATTTATATTTATACAGAAGCATTTTTTTTAAAAAAAAAAAAAAATATTTTTTTTCTTACCGCTATTTAAAATTTCTTTTCTCTACTTTTTATTGTAAAAAATAAAAATTCTTTTTATTTAAAAAAAGCGTCTATAAAAATTTTATCATCACATGATAACGTTTTAAAAAAGTTATAAATACCAAGTGCACTTCTCGTTTACCTTGGGAACAAATAAATCGGTTTATATCTAATAAATTCTTATATTTTTTTATTTAAATTGTTTTTATTCCTCAAGCAAATGCATTCTATCTATTATTACCCAACAACTACAATAAATTCTTTTGATTTATACGACGAGTGTGGTTTTATAGAACAAGAATCCCCCTTCGATGTATCTAGTCTTATAAATTCACCACTTTCTTTAGATAGTGAATCTGGAAACATGACATCTTCTTCGGTCGAAACATCTCCCGTATTAAATCAAGATCCTTCTCCAATGGTTCTTATTAAACCTCCGTTCCCACCAACGATAAATATCGATGATTTAGTAACGAGTAAACCTAATGGGGACAAACCTTCAAAGTCTTCAAACGCATTCATTATTTATCGTAAAGCTTACGTAAAAGAACTTCACTCAAGAGGAATTAATCTTCAAATGACTCAAATATCACCCATGGTATCAGAATCATGGAAACAAGAACCTGATAGTGTTAAAGCTGAATATAAACGTCTTGCAGAAGCGGCAAAGAAACGTTATAAAGAGATGTGGCCTTCAAAACAAAGACGTAGACAACATAGAAAACATCAACAACAACAACAACCACTTCCACAATCTCTTTTTATCGATAATTCGAAACCAACAAACGAGCTTGGTTTAAGTAATTTAACTCAAACTCCACCACAAACAGCAATCGATATTAACCAATGGGATTTTTCACAATCATCCCTTTGGTCTCATCAAGCAATTTCACCGTTACAAAATCTTACACTCGATCCAATGTTATTAAATTCAACCGAAGGACTTTATAATAATAATAATACACCAAATGCTACTCCACTTTTAAAAAATGAAATCGTTAATTCTAGTAGCACAGTAAATTCACCGTTATTAAATTTTCTTATAAACAATAATGAACGTGGCATTAATCGTAATATTTCCGTACAAAATAATAGTAATCACAATCACAAAGGAACTTTATTGGAATATCATCAACTTATGACAAATTGGCATAAAGATTTAAAACGGCAAAATCCTCACCCATATAAAACATTTGCGGACGCTGCGAGCGTCACATTTTTCGCACTTCATTTAGTTTAATTCAAATTATTATCATATTTTTTTATTATATATATATATATATTTTTTTTTTTCTTTTTTTTTTTTATTATAAATCATTCATATTTCAACATCACGTATAAATTAGTTAAAATAATTATTATTTTTCGGAATTCTTTTTTATATTACTCTCGGATGGAATGGACATTAGTTTTTTTTTTTTTATTTACTATAATAGGTTTTTATATATATTTATATATAATATATATATAATATATATA